GATCAGGTCTCCATAATGACCTCAACTCCTCCTAGACACTCTATGCTGAGGTGCAAATTCCCTTGCTCACAAATGGCCTTACCACAGTGGCAACCTGAATATTGGCTACCACCACCTATGCCAATGCCCCCACATGGCCCTAGTGGGCACCTTACAGGGCTCTGTAGCTGTAGCAGCAGCAGCAGCATCTCCATGTTGCCCAGCTCCGGTCAAGGCCTACATCCACTGTATCCCTTGACATTTCAGAGGACCAGACAGATTTTGATGGGCCACTGAGTGACAAGGAATCCACTACCTCCTCTCACCTACTTACCCAGATCTCTCTTTCCTCCCCAGGGGACACACTCATGCCTTCGCAAGCTCTATCTGGGGATGATTTAAAGGTATTCCAAGACCTAAGAGGGTAGCTAAGGTCTTCGAGGTCTCAACCACACTGCCAGAGACCCAGCATAAACTTACAAGCATCCTCCATACCCCTCCATTCACAAAGCCTGCTATCCCCATGGAACCTCCCCTCATGGATCCAGCCAAGAAACTTTGGCAAACACCTGCCACTATTCACCCAGTGGGCAAGCAAGTGGATAGGAAATGTTACATCACTCCTCAGGATGCGAGTTTTTATTTTCACATCTGTTCCTCAACTCCATAGTAATTGAGGCAGTGAATCAAAGAAGCAAGCAAAACATTGCTAAATCTGCCCCTCCTGATAGAGTGAAAACGTTTGGATATTATGGGCAAACGGTCATACTTCTCTGCCTCCCTCCAGCTACATATTGCTAATTACACCACTATGCTGGCAAAATACACTCACCACATTTTTCAGCAAATTTCAGACTTTATTCAATTCCTCCCAGAGGAAAAAATAGAACAAATGAGAGCAAACACTAAGAAGGGTCTCTTGATAGCCAAAACAGCCCTCTAAGATGCTCTGGACTCAGCTGACACAGCTTCACAAGCTTTGGCCATCTCTGTGGTGATGGGAAGATCCTCCTGGCTCCACCTCTCTGGTTTCCCTAAGGAGGTCCAGACAAAGATGGAAGACTTTCCGTTCGAGAATCCGAAGCTCTTTGCTGATGGCTCAGTTGCTTCTTTACATTCCCTCAAAGACTCCAGGGCCACGCTTAGAACATTGGGCATCCAGGTTCCTGCACCAAAACGAAACAAAACAAATCTTACGTTCAAAGATACAGACTTTCCCTCTTTGGTCATTCTGAAAGACAATACAACCCTAGAAAGTGCCAGCGTCAGGCGAGAAGGTGACAGCCTGCCGACAAACCCACTCCATCTCAGTCCTCTAACTCTAGGCAAACATTTTGAAGGTCTGGTCAAGAACCATCAGATTTGTCTTCCCTCGCCTGAGCCTCTGATCACTCTAATATCCAACCACAGATTAACGCCATTTTACCATCAGTGGTGCCTCGTAACATCGGACGAATGGGTTCTGGATGTGATAAAGTTTGGATACTGCATCTCCCCTTCCTATCTCCTACCAAAACCCAATCACCCACTCCGTCCCTCTTCAGGGACCCATCTCACGAGACTGTTCTGTGTCAAGAGATCGAACACTTGCTCCATATCAATGCAGTGGAAAGGATTCCAGAATAATATCAAAACACCGGCTTCTACTCCAGATATTTCCCCTCAGAGAATTTAGGGGGCTGGAGACCCATTCTCGATCTCAGAGCTCTCAACAGATATGTGCTGTACCAGTGCTTCAAGATGGTTACCCTCTTCACCATCATACCCTCCCTTAACAAAAATGACTGGCTGGCAACTCTCAACCTTCAAGACGCGTACTTCCATGTGTCCATACATCCTGCGCACAGGAGGTACCTAAGATTCACAGCAGGGGGGCAACATTTCCAGTATACAGTACTACCTTTTGGCCTTTCCATGGTGCCGAGGTTTTTTTCTCAGGTCTTGGCAGTTGTGGCGGTCCACCTGTGAAGATAGGGAGTGTCAATCTACCCATATCAAGACTGAGTCATGTCCACTATGGTGCTGTTCCATGTACTTGGCCTATAAATCAACTTATCCAAATGCCAGCTCCAGCCAACCCAATTCCTAGAGTTTATAGGAGCTCAACTTGATTGTATCCTTACTCCATCAGAGGTTCCTTGCAATACTACATCTAGTATTCCAGCTTCACACCACAGCCCCACAACTTCCTGCTAGGGCATAACTCCAGCTACTAGGCCATATGAACAGTTGTCCCACAGGCCAGATTACAAATGAGGCCTCTACAACACTGGCTGAGCATAGCATACAGGGCTTGGATACACAGCCTTCACAAACTGGTCTCCCTTCCGAACCTGGTCAGACACTCCCTCCAATGGTAGTCACAAAGGCAAAATGTGTGCGCTGGGATCCCCTTCCACAGGCAAGCCCCCCATCGTTCACCATCAGCACAGACACATCCCAACAGGGATGGGGAACTCACCTGGGTACCCTCACCACACAAGTACAGTGGTCTCACACAGAGACTACGATGCACATCAATGTGCTCGAACTCCGAGTGGTATACTATGCCTGCCAGAATTTTGTGAACTGTATTTCCAACTCCACAGTGCAGATCTTTGCCAACACCCAAGCTGCAATGTTCTACATAAACAGGCAGGGAGGGGCGAAGTCCTACCCCCTCTGCAGAGAGGCAGTCCAGTTATGGACTTAGTGCAGTGCTCACAATATAATGTTAATTGCCTCACATCAGCAGGAACTTCCCAGAAAACCATGAATGGGAGTTAGATCCCACCATCTTGCATAAGATCTTTACACAATGGGGTTTCACACAGATCAACTTGTTTGCCACCAATGCCAACAAAAAGTGTCCACACTACTGTTTGCATGTGGGCATTGGAACACAATCCCTAGGGGATGCGTTCATGATACACTGAGGGACAGCCCTACTATACGCTTTCCCCCCATACCGCTTCTCCATCAAGTAGTCACCAAGGTGCGCTTAGACAATGCCAATGTCATTCTGATAGCACCAGACTAGCTGAGACAAACATTGTATACCTACCTACTGCAAATATCAGCCTATTGCCCACGGCATCTCCCATGGCTTCCCCATCTCCTCATTCAATGTCATGGTCGCCTTCAGCATCCTCATCTGCACACCCTGATCCTTGAATGGCTCACTTCTCTAGAAACAGAATGCACAGATGAAGTCCAACAGATCCTCCTTAGCAGTCAGAAAACATTCACTCTCAAAACTTACCTGTACAAGTGGCGCTGATTCTCCACCTGGTCTCATCTCCACCATCTTGACCCATCTTCCGCTCCATTCCCTACAACCCTGCAATACATAATGGAACTAAAACACTCAGGACTTTCCCTCAGTTCACTGAAGGTCCACCTCTCCGCCATAACCACTTTACATCAGCAAATAGACAGCAAGTCGCTATTTACACATCCCACAACCAAAAAGTTTCTCAAGGATTTGCAGAACATCTATCCATGAATCAAACCTCCAGCTCCCGCCTGAGACCTCAGTTTGGTTCTGACCGCCTTAACTTGTAAACAGTTGATCCTATGACGACCTGCTCTATGCGTCACCTTTCTGTGAAGGTGGCTCTACTAGTGGCAAAAACATCTGCCAGGAGAGCTGCAATTTTGCTAACTCACCTTTCTCCACCTTCCACAAGAACAAGGTAGTCCTACAAGGTAGGTTCCTGCATAAGGTGCCCTCTCCTTTCCACTGTAATGAACCTGTTAACTTACCAGTCTTTTCCCCCAAACTTCATGCCAACGAAACACAGGCCACACTCCACACCCTTGATTTACGGAGGGCCATTGCATTTTACCTGGAAAGAACCAAAGAAATTTGGAAAACCAACAGGCTATTCGTGTCAACCACTGAACAATCCCAGCAACTCCCCAGAGGATCTCTTCCCAAAGGATCTCAAAATGGATAGTAGAATGCATAAGAATAGCATATTCAACCTTTGCTAAAGGACCACCTGCACAACTTTCTGCACATTCGACCAGGACCATGGCAACATCAACAGCCTATCCGAAGCTCCCACCTCCAGTGGATAGACTGCTTATAATCACCTAACGTGGAGCACCCACAGGGACACTCCTCAAAGAAAAGAGGGTTACTCACCGTCTGCAGTAACTGCCGTTCTTCAAGATGGGTGTCCCTGTGGGTGCTCCACCACCCACCCTTCCTCTCCTCTGCTTCAGTTATTTCCATACTTTCTGGAGCAGAGAAAGAACTGAGGAGATTGTACCTTGTGCATGTACATTGGGCACCTAGCATGTGTAGCGCTTTTGCATACGTGCGAGCTAGCTGTCAAAGCCATTGCTACTAAAATCTCCTGGCCAGGCATGCTGTGGCACCAAAACACCTAAGGTAGAGCACCCACAGGGACACCCATCTCGAAGAATGTCAGTTATTGCAGAGGGTGAGTAACCCTCTCTTTCAGTGTGCCAGAGGAGGGTACAGATGGGGGATGGGGTACTAGAGAGCAAGCTGGAAATGAGGGATGCAGAGTCCGGGTGGCACACAGATGCTGTTTTTAAAATATATCTTTGGTCAATTTTCATCATTTGGGATCCTGGTCTTACTAGTATATCACTGATCTACTATTTGCTCAAGCCCAAACTCATATTAATAGTGTGTGTTCAGATTTATGACCCACATTTCAAACCATTATTGCTAATGGTTTTTTGGACTGTTGGAATAGCAAATGTAATTCTTAGAATATATCTCAGGAAGAAATAAGGGATGAGAAGTCTATATGAAACTCTGATATCTATTTTTAAGCCCCCGATTCCTTTGTGATCAATAAGCCCACTCTTTACTTTGACTAATTTAAAAAAAATTGTTTAACATTTTACGAATTAATTTAGCTCCTCAGCATTTCACACTGTTAATGTGGAACCAAATGTCAGAAATTATACAGCATAGGCTATCTATTAAGTTGTGCTAGGTATATAAAAATTTAGTAACAATTCAAAAAAATCCTTAAAGTATTGTGATTATTTTATTATAGGGGATGGAGTGCTAGATCTCTCTACAAAGAAAAGCGCAAGGCTGGAAGAGTCAACATATGATCCATCATCTTCTGAAAATTCAGTGTCTGGGTAAGCAGCATTTGAATTTAGTTATTGAAAAAGGAAACACTGAAAAAAACTCTATGAAATCAGATAATTTTTATAACATACTTGTTTAGTATGTATTGACACACAATTCAGTTTATATTTTGATTTTTTCAAGAGTTTCACTCATAAGTGTGTGTCTATGTATATATCATTTGTTTCATTGTCTTTTTTTTCTTTCTGTTAAAGAAAAGTTATCAGAACAATCACCAAACTTTAGTTCATGTTACTAAAAATGAACTGAAACTTAACTACATTATACAATAGACTAGGATAGTAGAAGAAATTTAAATTTATTCTTCAAGGTTTTATTTAGGAAACTTCCATTTTGCACAAAAATATAACACCCAGATTAATTTGTTCATGTCATCTAAAGGATATTTATGAAATATAAGCGGGCTATTTTATCTTTAATATTAAGGAGAGAGCACTCCTAATTGTTATGTTTTTATCATGGTTTTGCCTGTGGTGTGTGGTGGCAAACTGCTAAATATGTCCATTCAGCATTAAAAGCTAAAAATGTTGCTTCATGTGCTGAAAGCTACCATTACATTAACTGAAACAAAAATAGTGAAATACATTGTTCTGTTGGATTTTGTTATAATTTTGGCATTCTCCCATCCACTAGTCATAGCAGAACCCTTTTTGTCACCTGTACATCTTACAAAATAATTTTGTTCCAAACAATATAATTAGCTTTATTTGTTGCATTGTTTGAAATTATATTCTGTTAATTTATTGATATGAACAAGTTTTAAAACTAGGATTTATCATTTGAAAAATATAAACAGTGATTACAATTTTCAAAACTGAGTTGTATATTGACAAAATGGGACTTAACAGTTAATTGCAGCACTTTTCCTTATGGAATTATAAAACTTAGTCTTGAAATCTGGGGGTTTTGTGTTAGAAATGTACCAATTGCTGCAAATTTTCTATAAGGGGTTGACTCTTTTATTACTTGTTTAGCGGTAACGTCACGTTTCTACTAACAAAATCTCATTTAGGATTTTGGTATTTAATGGACTGTTAATTGCATAACAAATTATAAGTGTTGCTCTGCAAGCATGTATCAAAGGGAATATAGAAAACACATGAGAATATTATCAGATACTGAGCTAGGATTTAAAGTTCTTGGAAGGGCTGCTGTAGAAGCCATCGTATGATTTTGACACGTCCTACCAGAACTGTAGCATTTTACTATCATAATCAGTAACTACCACATCTCAAAGACTTAAAGTATCAGAAGCAGTGATGTTACCTAAGCAAGGAGTATAATAAAGGAGTGGACCCTTCCCTTCCATAGCTGTGTGAGAGTCTCTCATGCATCAGTTTACCATCGTTTCATTCCATCCATCCAGGAGACTACACAGACACAGAGAGGACTATGTGGAAAGAAGTGCTGAGTTTGCAGATGGTTTGCTCTCAAAAGCTTTGAAAGACATTCAGTCTGGAGCACTGGACATAAATAAAGCAGGCATACTTTATGGCATACCTCAAAAAACTTTACTTCTCCACTTAGAAGCCTTACCAGCAGGAAAGCCTGCATTTTTTAAAAACAAAACTCGAGATTTCAATGATAGTTATTCATTTAAAGACAGAAAAGAAACTTGTGCAGTGCTGCAAAAAGTAGCTTTGTGGGCAAGAGCTCAAGCAGAGCGCACAGAAAAAAGTAAACTCAGTCTACTTGAAACCTCAGAATTAAAATTCCCAACAGCTTCCAGTTACCTCCATCAGTTAACTCTACAGAAAATGGTCACTCAGTTTAAAGAAAAAAGTGAAAGTCTACAATGCGAAACTTCAAATCCTACTGTACAGTTAAAAATTCCTCAGCTAAGAATAAGTTCTGCATCCAAACCACAATCTGATAATGCTGGTCTTCTGGATGTCATGTACCATGTTTCCAAAACATCCTCAGTCTTAGAAGGATCTGCTCTTCAAAAATTGAAAAATATACTCCCTAAACAGAACAAAATTGAATGTTCTGGACCTTTAACTCACTCAAGTGTTGACTCCTACTTTCTGCATGGGGACCTCTCTCCTTTGTGTCTTAATGTTAAGAATGGAACAGTTGATGGAACCTCTGAAAATACTGAAGATAGTTTGGATCGCAAAGACAATAAACAACCAAGGAAAAAACGTGGCCGCTATCGACAATATGATCATGAAATAATGGAAGAAGCTATTGCTATGGTAATGAGTGGGAAAATGAGTGTTTCCAAAGCACAAGGAATTTATGGGGTACCTCACAGCACTTTAGAATACAAAGTTAAAGAAAGATCTGGAACACTGAAGACTCCGCCGAAGAAGAAACTTCGATTACCAGACACTGGGTTATTTAATGTGACAGATTCAGGGACTGGCAGTTGCAAAAACAGCAACAAGCCCGTATAGATTAATTGTTAGCAAATTGTTTGGGGTGTGTGTGTTTGTCTGTCTGTGTGTGTGTATGTGTATGTATATATATATATATATATATATATATACACACACACACAAACACACACACGAAAAATACATATGCTCACTAACAGAAAACATGAAATTATACAGTTCAAAAAACACATACATGCCTTTTTGAAAAATAGTTTTATTCAGGGTTTTCACTGTGGACAGAATTATAAAGTTCTCCCTTAATTCTGATAGTGTGTATTTAATAAAATCCTTGTATAAATAGGTGAAAAGATTCAGGTTTTCTTTAGTAGTCAATAGCATAAAATGTTTTTTGGGGAAAAAGTATTTGTCATGTGAAGCATTATTTTTAATTGGTAAAAGAACCATTCTAGCCATTGAATAAACCATCTTTTGAAAATACATGACCCATGATTTGCAAACTTCTATACTTCACAGAGTACTTGCAATAGTTTGTAAGTAATTCAGAATACACAACTCAAGGGATTATTTTTCTTTTACAAAGTTAGTTCCTTGCCAAGAAAATGGATGTGTGAAGTATTAGTAGAAGGTAGTACATTATGCGGAAGAAGGAAAAAAAAGACATCATAACTAGATTTCCAATACAACTAGAAAAAACCAAAACATGTCATTAATAAAAATGTGTGTTAGCAGACATAAAACTGCATTTTTATTATTTTAAAAAAGAACTTTGTTGTTCGTTTAGCAAGAAATTGGTGTTTACAAAATATACATTTATGAAAACTGACAAATTACTGTAGCTATAGAATTGTTAAATATGAAATAAGATGGAATACTAAGTATAAAATAATTTAAACAACATAATTTTCCTTTTTCGTTTGGAAAATAAGAACTTTTTAAGGTTTAAGAGGAAAGTTGGAATGCAACTTAGAGCATGTTCATAATGTGCACAGAATGAGCTTGAGAATGGATATTACACGTGCTGATTAGTTAATGTTATGACTACTTAAAATTCATTTAAGGATTGTCACTCCTTATATTGAAAAAAAAACTAACTCACTGTAACTGTAACATATTTGCTGCTGTGACATTTCAAACCTTTTCAGTTTATCAAAATGAATATCAAGTTTTCATTTTGGTGGGCCGATATATTATCATTTTGCTAATAACCAAATTTGCAGTTCAGGGTCTTGATAGAATCACAAATATTAAACAGTGAAACTGTTTTGAACTTTCAGTAGTATAAATTCTTTATAAATTTGGTAGTTAGAAGCTAGACAGCAGTTCATTTTAAATGTGATTTTTAATAGAATCTGAGAGACCAGTAGTTTTCAGATTGCAGTTTTTAAATTAATTTTCAATTATTTACATTGGGTTTTATAGAACATGTAATTTTGGTGGTGTAATGTCATAAAGCATTTGTCTACATTAGAATGAGGGCTTGCTTTATACATTCAAAATTTCAACATCTGTGCCCCTTTTCCAGTTAAAAATTTGGTTTAGATTGTTTTTCTAAATCAATTCACACACATTTAGAAACACTTGTTTTTTCACTTTGGGTAAATTTTCTCAGTCACAGACATTATCAGACTTGTTTTCTGCTTAAAGTTGCCAGTATGTAGGAGAATTATCCTGTGTGGATATAAGACTTTATTACATGTATAGGTCCACATCATGTGATTGACTTTGAAAATAAACTTGCCATTGAGCTCAGTGGGGAATTCCTCTTTAAAATTAATGGTAAAGTCTATCTCTTGGGTGTTAACATTATTTCAGGTAAATACTTACATATTAAAATAAATTAAATCCATAAGAATTTAAGTGAAACTGCACAACCACCAACATATCAATTTTGTGGTCTCTTAGATCTATAGTGTACCCTCTTCAACTATTAAGGCTTACTTTCATATTTGAAAAGGAATCCTTCTGTAAAAATAATTATACCCAATAACAAAGTAGGATACATAAAAGCAGGTGTCATGGTCATCGTTGATTTTAAAGAATTAAGCCATATTTTGTGAAGGTCACAAAGATGAATTTGTTAATGTATCCTCCTCAATGGAAAACACAATTAATAGTACTTAAAAGTTTCAAAATCTCTCTTTATACAGAATTTTATTTACAAAAGTTTTGAGGGCATCAATGCATTGCCTAATATTTATACCACACTGAAGTTTTTTATTCCTCAGACAATATTATAAATTCAGTCAGACGTTTATATTGAAAGCAAATTACAGTACACTTTTTATATTATTTAAAAGATGACCTGACCAAAAAATTGACAGGATTCATAAAATCAGGGATCATTTTATTATTGACTTAACAGTGATCAGTAGTTTTGTATGTAATATTATAATTAATTTTCAGCATTTTAGTACTTGTATTTATTTATTTTTTTGGTCAGAAATAGTATATTGAAATATTTTTTGATAGTTTTTAGATGATGCTCAGTCTGTAAGTGTTTAAAAAGAAACAGAATTACTTCTAATTATTAGGCTAACCTTTGATTACACAACTAAGGAAAGACAGGGAAATGTGTAAGTCCCCTTTCCCTAACTCCAGTGTATTCTATTTAAATGTCATTTAAGTTGTACCTTTGAACTGTTTATAAATTCAGTTACCAGTCACTACTTCGTAATTGACCATTTCTGAAAATTCATGTTTCAGCAGACTTTTAAATGAAGGCGAAAGCAAGCCCTACATGCTTTCTACTTATTTGAATGTTTCTCAAGTATTTTATATTAAAAAACAGTGCCTCTGTTTTTAGAACTACTGCTCAGTAAAGTTGTTTAAACCATTTCTGGTAGCTAATGACAATTTTATATTAAATTGTATATTAACTTTAGTGAGACTGATTTTTTTAGTTGTTTACAGTACAAATACTTGTATTTGTTTTTTAATTGCAGTATTTCCATTGTCGCAGTAATTTAGTAAAACTCTGTGGCTGCCTTGATTTTTGACAGATTTTGTTAATAACTGATTTTTAGGCAATTAGTTATATTTATGCATAAATCAATTGCACTATAATTCATGAATTATTTATTACAATATTTTCTAATGAATTCCATGTATTTGTCTTGTGTTGTAAATGTACTGTAATTCTGTTTCCTCTTTGTGTTGTTATATTCCTAAATCTGATTGTATGAATTTTAATTGTTTAGTTAACGTGTTTCTACGTTGTAATTTGTAGTAAAGCACTTCAATGCTTTTGCACATAAATTTACAACACTGATGTGTGATTGATTTTGCTCATTCAGTAAAACAAAAAAATACTGCATACTGGCTCATTTGACTTACTCCGTAAGCACAAATTTACTATTGATACAGTAAGTTCATGATAGAACTTGCTTTTAACAGTTACTTTTACAATGAACTTATTTATAAAGCAAAATTAATTGCCACAAGGAAGACTGGTTCTCAAAATATGGTGGTCCGCAAATAAATTAGGCAAACTTCAAAAAAATTAAATGTTTTAAACTTTAGGGGAGACACAACATTTCTTTTAGCTGTCAGAGAGCTTTATTTAATTTGTTAAACTTTCTTTAGCCAATATTTATTTAATAAACCTATACATTGGGGCATAAGAAAAGGGAGAATATTTATAAAAATAATTTTGTTCTCCTTTTGACTACTTTTAAAAGAATTTTGTTTCTTCCAAGACCTATTTCCTTTTGGCTCACTTCTTCATTGAAGCTGTTACCATTCTATAAAAACTGAGAATGAAACTCCAGGGAGAAAATCTTCCTGTACTCCTAGTGAAGTTTTTCCTTGATAGTTCTCTTGAGTTAGAAAACAGAACTTGATATTTCATATATATATTCTATACAAAATAGGTCTTTACTTTTCAAACTGGTTAGATCACTATGTATTGACCCTATGCCTTTGTTTCCAATATCTGCACCCACAGAAAATTGTTGCCTATGGCACTCAGTAGCATCTTAGTAGAAGAGTTAATGCAGTCTGAGATTGAAGCAATTTCCACAAAATCGGTGCATGGCTTGACTTCGAGAGTGTTAATGTTAAAGATTTGTTAATTGTATTGCCTCTAATGCACCTAGTTTCTATTCCCTTCCTCTGCTTGAATACTATACCCACAGAACCTCTTTCATGGAATTCATAGAAAGCTAGAGTTCTGTGAAGAGAGGAATTGTACCTACCATTGCATACAGGAAGGGGGACGAGTCATGTGTGGCTCTATGGGGCTAGTAACCTAGGCCTCTGTATTTGGCACTGCCACTTTTTGCCATGGGGATTGTTGTGATACTATAGATTTGGTATAATGACAACACAACAGAATGAAGAGGAAGGGGGGGGGATCTTACTGAAGCACAACTAATACTTAAAAGGGGTTGGAAAGCTACTAAAAACATGAAAGTTGAATGAATTGTTTACATATATGAACACTTCTACAGAGAGGAATTCTATATATCTCTTCAAAAGAAATGCTTTATTTTAAATAGATTTTTAGGCTTTTGACCAGAGCTGCAGCTAAGTTGTGCTAGGTACAGTTTAGTGCAGGGTAACTTTTTAACATTTTTAATTCTCTTGAGCTTGGGGTCACTGAGTCCATGGCATAAGTTAGAGCAGCATGATCTACATATGATCTTATAGGGATGTTCTGGCAGCTAGGGATCAGAGGAGTATAGGAATGCAATTTCAAATCTACTGATGGCTAGGAAAGGGATGGTATTAGGAGCAATAGTAGTGGCTGTGTACACCTGAGAATTATTCTACGTACTCTGAAATCCTTCAATTGCAAACTCAAGGCAGTTTTGATGCTCCTGAAAGACCTGGGCCATAACTGAGAGACATTTAAGAACACTGAAGTTTACTACACTAATGAGCACATTTTTTTTCTTTCGGTAAATGTTATAATATTATTCATTTGACTATCCAATGTCCAAAAAATAATTTTACAAAGATTGAAGAACATACAAAGATGACTCCTATCTGGAGACTTCAATGTATATAGGTAGCTTTTACCACACCAATCAGTGAACTAAAGGTTAATCAAAGCTGTTATATGCTAGGTGCTTGTTTAAGCTACAGCATATAATATTACTGAACAAACTATTAAATAACATGTTAAAGTCTAATTACCATGTTGAAATATTTTTATTTCTATTTTTAAGTTTCAAAATATGCTCTTAAAATTGAAAAATATAGAAAATACTTTTATGTATCCAGTCTGATTACAAAAGTCAATTTTTAACCTAATTTTTCTATTCTGCTTTGTCCTGGCTTTTAGCTTTCTTATTATTATTTTTTGATTTTTGGTCGTCCGGTTTGTTTTTTGGTTTTCAATGCATCTGATAAGTCATTCTGTCTCACAGAGGTGGCCATGTTAGTCTGTATCTCAAAAAAAAAAAAAATTAGGAGTGCTGTGGCACCTTAAAGACTAACCTATTTATTTGGGCATAAGCTTTCATGTGTAAAAATCACTTCATCAGAGGCATGGAAATAAAGTGGCTTTTACCCACAAAAGCGTATACCCAAATAAATCTGTTTGCCTTTAAAATGCCACAAGGATTCCTCGTTTTTGTAAGTTATTATACATTTTATAATTACTACGATTGGAGTTCCATATAAATGACCATCACTGATTGCATCCTAAACTCACTCATGGCGGCAATATCATTACAGACTCTACTATATAGCATAATTTACATGACAGATGCAATACATTTATTTTTATTTCATTAACATTTTAAATTGAATTTTAATTACAAGTTCAACTAATAACATCAGGGTTCAGTTAAGATTTTAAGAGGTAGTTGGACCATCTAAATGTCTCACTTTGAACGCCTCCAAATTTGTTATAAAATGTTTCAGGAGAGGAAGAAAATCACCAGAAATTATTATAGTGGTCACATTTATAGCATAAAAATTAAAGTTTACCTATGACCTAACTTATGTATTTTTGTAATTCAAATGTGATACTAGCTTGTTTATCTTTAACTAATTAATTTATATACATGGTATATTAAAATATAAAATGTTTTGTTCTATGATCAACAATATTGTAAAAACCAATCAAAATGGAATTTTGCCAAAATGGAAATTTAAATATTGAAATGACTGATGAGAGAAATAGGTAAAGAGTTAGTGTCATGTTCAGAGTTTGGTGATATGTTTAAACAAATGTATACTTTTCTAAAACAGAATTATTTTAATATTATTTACTACTCTTGCTATTGGTACCAGTAAAAGTTCTGAATTATAGAGGGATAACTATTTTGTTGTAGTTGCTATTCAACAAGGGATTTTGTGTTTAGTTGAAGAAAGGTCTGTATTAATTTCTACAATGGAACATTTTCAGCTTTTCAGTTTAAATGATTGATTAGGTAAGTAGTAACTTTAGTTTTAATGAATTTATATTGAGAAACCAAATACTTAAGAACATAGTCTTTTGTAACTGATTTTGTTTTGATTGAGTGTATGAAAACAACTGTTTCAAAGTCTTGTTTAGATATATACACTTATTAGTTAACTTGATATTTAAAGAGATTCAGTCTCATTAGACATGCATGTTATTTACTTCAGAGGTTCCTTTTTGTTTTCTTGTAGATGTGTGTTTGTGAGAGAGAGACGGAGATGTAATGGAAGCCTGTGGCAGACTTCATTCTAATGTTTTAAAAACTGGAAAGGGAATTTATATCTTAAAAGAACATTAAGAGCAGTGATGGTTTCTAAACTTATTTCTATGGTGTACTAAGGTTAAATGTTCTTTTAAAAAATGTTTTAAAGTTCATGTTAAACATCTTAGGGGCTGTGCTGCACAACACACACAGTAAGGGAGGATAGTCTTGTGGTTAAAGCACAGGCTCAGGCGCCAGAAGAGATGGATTCTATCCCTGGCTCTGCCACAACCTTCCATTGTTACTTTGGATAAATTGTTTAATTCCTCTCCATGCCTCAATTTTTCCATCTGTAAAATAGGGATAATACTTTCCTGTCATGTTTGTTGTGAGGGTCAATTTAGTAACATGTGCAAGGAAATTTGAAACACCAGATTGAAAGGTGCCATGAAATAAATAATACTCTATTTGAGAAATACTAGAATTCAAACTTTCTTTTGTTTTTGTTTTTCAAGTAAAACATTTTTTTGCTGAATATTTTCCTACTTGAGATAGAAATATTGTACCATATATAACATACACATCAGCAGCAGTGAAATAGCTCTAAGACATTTGCCTTTTCAGAGTTTCAGTCTTCTACGTAACAGTTAAAAATATAACAAACACCGTGTTTAACGTAATTTATTTTTTGTTTTGATTTGTTTTTGTTTTCAGTTCAACAGTTGATGCAAAATCAGAGGAAGCAATTAAATTGGAAAAAGGAAAATCAGCACTAAACAAGGTTTTGGAGTCTTTGTGCTCTTATCACTGGCATCAGATTTTGGCTATTTTAAAATTTTTGATCCAAGACACAAATGTTCCTTCACTTTGCAATTGCCTGCAACCTCATATTATCCATTCAGAAGATCAGAAGTCTCTCATTGAAGATAACTGTGTCCCATTTTGTAGTTCTGATGGACATACACTGATAAAAAAGAGCTGCTGTTTACACAATCCTAAACCAAACACTTGTTTGCCGTCTTTGTCTGTCTGTATTAAAGATTTGCACTGTTTGTCATGTCAGACTATAACTACTGGATGTATTAAGACAACAGTGAATAAAAGGATTGATAACAGTTGTAATCCTCACAGGTATTATACAGGACAATTACACAGCTGTAACAAGTACTCTGTGACAGATGCGTCCTTTCCCTCAACTGAAGACAGTGATTCCTCAAACAACATTGAAAGTTCTAGTAGATCTCGCAGCCCATCACCCCCTCCGTTGTCTCCTGTACAAAATAATGAATTTGAAACCTTTGAAGAATCACCTACAGATTTTCCAGTTTTAGAGAATAACAATATTGAAATAACCATTAATCAGCCTCCATCTCTCTTTCCAGCAGACGGAAGCAATGAAGAGTATAAAGACAAAGATAAACTAGGCAAAGGAAAAGCGTTTTATTACTCAAATGAAACCTTGCTGTCAACAGGTCAGGAAAGCCGGAAATGTTCTATAAACTCTGAAAAGTTTGAAAAAGGTGAAAATTCTGCCATTTTTCAAGATTTAATGGATCGTATTAATGAAAAATTAAAATCAATAGAAACTACAGATATATCAACTAATCTTATAAAATTGTCTAACAGTGACAGGGCACCTGAAAATGATAATGGAAATTTGGGGGACTTCATAACCTCTCTCTTGCATAGTGCTAAAGCAAATGATTACACTTTTATGGAGTTACTGAGACAACATGATAAACAAGTGGAAAATAAAATTATCCAAACAAGATTTCGCAAACGCCAGGAAACTTTATTTGCAATGTATAGTTCTCCTGATTCACCTCTCATTAGACGACAGTCTTTGCAAATCAAAAGAGAACTTGCAAGTCTTGATGAAACTTTCATAAGCAAAAAGTCAATTTCAGAAAGAAATGCAAAAAAGTCTTCAAAAAATGATGGCAAAATGTCAGCAAACAAAGGAAACAGTTATAACATGTTGGAAGACAAAGCTATACAAAATCCTGAAAATAATGTAGGTATGAGATGTCAAGCTAAATCCAAATCCTTGCCAGTGTTTCAAGCAGATTCAATGGAACTACCTCTGAATAATTTTGAAACCAATTCTGGTTTTGTAGCATTTTCTGAAAACAAAAATATTACTATCATCGACCAGACTAACTTTGCAAAAAGACAAGGAGATTATGCAATTGAAAAAGAGAATGATCAGAACCCTTTGAAGGGAGAATGTAATGGCATTTTGGGGAGAACTAAACGTAACATTGTGCCTCCTGGATGGTACTCTGTATATGTAACAAATGATTTTTTATGTAAAAAATCCTCCAAAGCAAAAAAATCTGAAAATTTGGAAAGAGAGAATATAGTTAAAGATCTGCATGCTGAAAGATCTATTAATGTAAATAAGATTGTAAGGAACACAAATCTACAAGTTGTTGTGGAGCGCTTGGAAGATACATTAAACTTAGCTAAAAAGACTAAAAGTCCATTGTTGGATAGATATAAAATATCCAGAAAATTGAACAACCATACTTATGAGTGTGATATGAACCAAACTGCTAGGAGAGATCTAAATTTTAACATGGATGAAAAAGAATATGTAGAACAGAGTGTCCTGCCCCAGTCTCACTTGTCATGCAGCAATACATGCAAAATAGATTGCGTGCCAACAAGAGAATACAAAGAAGTTCTAAATCAAGGACTTGGTAACAACCTTTTGAAATCTTCATCCTTTGATTCGGGCAGATTGACTGCCAGTACTAAGGATGTACAAACACAATCTGAAATTGGGGAAAGTGCATCTCTTCTTTACTCTAGCCCAATAAAGCTTATGTTTGTCTCAGAGGTTAATAGTAGTGAAGGAGTCAAATATACTTTAACTGCTGCCAGTGCATCTTCTACAGTAAACACTGATCTTTGTTTATTTCAGAAGTATCCAGACATCATATCAGGAAAAAAATTCAAAACGAGTGATCTTGTTCATGAAGTCTGCATTGGAGACTCTGGATATAATTGTAATGAAAGTGACACTAAAGAGGAACCAAATATTGTTAATACTGAGATAGTTGCAGATACTTGTGCAGCTGGTGAAACTGACTTAAATTATTGTAAGCAAAGTGAAGAAACTATGGAAAAATCAAGTAGTAGCAATGAATCTGTTTTTAAAAGAAAACCTGGCAGGCCTAAAAAATTAGGGCCTCAGGTTGTAAAACAGGTCAAGCGACCAATTGGACGACCTCCAAAGCCTAAAATAGACACTGCTGAAAATAGTGATCATCAAAGTGAACACACCACTTATGGGGAAACCACCAAATCTGATGCAACAGTGATAAAAGAAGTTATTAGTAACAAAAATATTATTGTGACAGTTGTTTTTGGAAGGTCAAGAAGAATTAAAAGACATGTTTCTGAAGGTAATACCAATACAATTAATTATATGCCTACTCAATGCTATTCCAGTTTTAAAAATGATTCTAGTGAACTGAGGCCAAATATTGAAAGTGAAAGTGGTTTTGCCAAAATAGTAAAAATCTTACCGAATTCTGCTACTGAAAATGAAGTGTCTGGTTCTGGTTATGAGTATATTAGACCTATCAAGAATAATCCAATATTACCACACTCCTATAACAATATCATACGACCAAATCAGAAGAAGCCTTTAACTATCACTAGAAAGCCTGGTAGACCAGCAAAAGTAAAAATATCTGGCATATCAGTGACTGTTAATAGAATTTCACCTCAGGAACGAAAAGTAAGTATTAGCGGCTGCCTGCCTCCCTTACAGCAGCAACATAGTTTTTTTTCTAACATATCACAGGAAAAAAATAACCAACTATGCAATAAAGTAGATGAAAGAAAGACTGTTGAGAATGTCACTACCAAGGAGGCATTCGGCAATGTGATTACTGCAGAATCAAGAAAACATGAAATTCCTTTGAGGCATTCTGTTAGAGACAGAAGGCCATCAGTGCATTTCTTACACTCATTAGCATCTTCTAGCACATTTACTTGTAGAAGTGCCTTGCTACATAAATCATATAAGCTCCATTTGAAAAAAGCTAAGAATCAAAAAGAAAAACATATGCAATCAAATCTGAAGATCGTATCCAAGGATACCTCAGAAACTAAAAATTCAGGGAGTGAAGAAAAGGGTTCTGGGGTGAATGAACTCAGGTCCATTAATGAAATATCATTGGATCCCATATTTTCATCAAATCCTTCTCTCAGGTGGTGGGCTACTTCCACTTCATGTGACTCCTTGTTGGAAGAACTAAATAATAGATTTGAACAGATAACCAATACCTGGTTGCAAGTGGGTGGAAATGAATTTGAAAAGTGTTTATATGAAAAAAGGAATCATGTTGAACAAGATTGTAGCATTAAAGTATCAAGACCTTTAGACACCTGCATTGTAGAACTTGAAGCATCACCTATAAAAATGCTTTTTCAGAAGAAGTGTAGTATGAATGAACTTAGTACTTGGTTTATGCAAACAACAGAAACACAATCCCTTTCTCTAGTGAGAAAAGCAAATGCTCGCAATCCTTTGGAAGTAATTGGTACTAGAGACATTAAGATGGGAAGTAAACAATCAGATCTTAATACTAGCCCTTTCAGAAAGCACTTTAAAAAGTTTGCACTATCCTCTCCTTCAGAAACAGCTGGAAAATTACAAATGCTGCATAAAATGATCCAGGCTCCAATCCTAAATATGAAAAGTAATTTCACACTAGCTAAATTAAGAAGAACTGAATTTAAGAAGTTACAACATGACAGGTGGACACCAGTGAAAAATATATATAAACATGGAACAGGTGACTGGAAATCAAAAAGGAGAAATTTAAGATTTTTCTGCCAAAGCCAGTTTTTTAAAAATACAAGTGGGAAAATCAGCGATGTAGTGTCTGTGCATCAAGGAAAAAGTACTGTAGAAACCCAGCCCACTGAAATCTTAGAATCTCAAAGTAGCATCTTGCCAACTGGAACTGAAGTCAAAGATTCATTTCTTCCACAGACAATGGAACTGTCCGACTTCAGCCCACATCCTGGTTTAACAAATATTTTTAAATCACAGTCAGAAATAAATGGAACAAGTTATAATAAAAAAAATGTTGGAAAAGCACAAAATCAAGTTAAAATGAATGAAAGTACATGGAGAACCAAAACCTTTAAAGACTGTAGAATATTTCTGAGAAAACTCAACCATATTGAACAGAATAAATCTTTTAACTTCAATACTATCATTTACTCTCCAGGAGCTGTTGAAAGTAAGAGCGATCAGACCTACACTGAAGAAAAAAGGCATCATACTTTAAGATCCTATTCTGCTAGGCAAGATGCATTAAAGATAAAAGAAAGAGAAGTGGAGCTATCTAAGGGAACTAATCTTTCCAAAATTACTGCAATGGTGGATGATCAATTAGACGGCAAAAAATCAAGCACGTCTGTAATGCATGAAAGCCCTGCTGATAGTTCTGAAGTTCTTAACAAAATAAACATAAGAAAAAGACCACAATGGGAGACCACTGATATGAATATAAGAAAAAAGCATAAGAGACAATCATGCAATACTGGACAAATGGCGAATTTTTACTCAAAATACCAACTAGGTAAGTTCCCTTGCCCCTTAACTTTAAAATACTAATTTTAAATTGAAGTAGAACAAAGAGTAGAAGCAGAATAGTGGACAAAATTAAAATGTATATTGTGTAGGTCAAAAACATCCAATTTTCAAAAAGTAGTAAAATGGAACAAAGTATAACATTAAATGCATAGTGCTAAAAGTGCAATTAAAATTTTAAAAATACCTTATTTAATTAGTTTCATATCTTCTTTTACAATAGATATATTACAATATCTAGCCTGAAGATACACTTAATGATAAGCCAAAAAGCAATGAGTTAGTTCTAATAGCATATTTTGAGAGACATTTGGGTCAAATTCTGACACCATTAAAGTCAAAATCAGTTGGAACTTTGTCATTAATTTCACCCCTACAGGGTCAGGATTTCACCATTTGGCATCATAGTCCCTGTTATGTCTGGAAGGTGTTATCTACAAAATACATATAAACAGAGCTATAAAGTTACAGCATGGCTAAACAAAAATTCTCATTGACATTGTTTTAAATCCAACTCTATAATAAGATCCATAATTAAACATTAAGATATGATAGATAATACTGTGCATTTCTGGACAATTATTTACTAGAATGTCCGTGGTAGCTCCTGATTGAAATCAATAAGATTTCTGTTGACTTTCATAAATTTTGTAGTGGGCCCTTAATGGTCAAAACGAGATGTGGGATGAAACTAATTAAGTGAGCCACACTATAATCAGATTGAAATGCATTTGCCCTGAAATGTTTTATTGGTATTCTGAAATGCAATCTGTACATAAGAAAGAACAGTAAGACATTTATAGGGCATTTTGCACAGGTTTGACATCATCCTGGCCATAATATAGTTTCAAAATACAGGGTTCAATTGTGAAACTTTTATTGATGTCCATGAACCTTTACTAACGAGTGTGTGTTCTAAGTGCATTAATTTTGAAAGTTCAATCAAAAGAAAAATTACTATTTTAAATACGCTCTTGATGTAAATACAAAAGTTAAAATTCAAATTATACTAGTTTGAGTTAACTTTTTTTCTAATTTCAAAAGTCTACAAATAACTTACTCCTGTATGTGCTCATGTTAGCTATGCTTAACACTAATATTTGCTGATAACTTTCCTCTTTTTTAATTTGATGTCTCTCACTATTGTTGCATTATTTCACTTTAGACTTTTTTTACTTTAATTTTTTTCTGTTGTTCATAGTGTCCCATAGCTGTTGGTATCCATAGAAAGATGTCAAAAAAGCCTTAATCTCAGAGCAAAATTTAGCCTCAGGCTGGTGTCCAGGTGTCTGATTCTACAACTGCATACATGCTGGTGGATTTTTTAGCTGGTATAGAACCTGCCTCCCTATTCCCCCAGTGAATGCAGCTGCAAGATCACATTCTAACTTTCCACGCATACCTGTTTGCTGGCACATTTCCTGTATCTGAAAGGTTTATGTGTATGGAAGCATCATTATGTATATGTATATTTTTTGATTGCATGTATGTGTTACATTGGTATCAAGACCTACATCACTGTGTTAAGATTTTCTGTACATTTAATGCTTTTAAATAGATAAGTAGATATTTTTGTCAACATGTTCAAGTTTTTCCTCATGTTTATTAACCTCTCTATCAGACTGAGGAAAAGAGGGGGAAGTACTTTGAGTATTCTTGAAGGAACTTTCTGATGTCCTGTATCTGCAAGAGCTGAGAGGAAGGGCAAGATGTTGATATTGAAGAATTGTGGGTCCATTTTTTGTTACATAAACATACACAGGTGGATATTATTGCATTCTTACAGCTCAAGACACTTTTTCAAAAGAAAGCATCACTGTGATTAGTTCTCAGTCTGGCTGCAGAAGAGGACTGATTGTGCTTTCATGCCACATTTTGTTCAAAATGTGGCAAATAGAAGATATTTTGAACCTCATGATACGTTTGGCACTTTGATTTGCTTGTGAAATGACTGCTGCAGTGATGCATTTGGACATGTTGAGGGCTTGGTTCCAATGTACTGTGAATCTCTGTTCCTAATTTTTTTTTTTTTTTGAAAGGACACTTTCATTTGGCAGTATTGAATTGGACTTGTCTACATGCATGATGGATATTGAATAAATAGATTTTTAGTTAAGGGTTTATAGTTCTGGTTAGAAAGGTGCATACATTTCCCATCAGTATGTCATAGACCTCACCTAGAGGCTTGCAGCTAGCTAAAGTTTCCAGATACAGGCTTTGAAGATGGCTAAGCTTAAATAGAATAAATGGTCATCCTATGGTACAATGTGACATAATAGTGAGAAGATACCATGTGAGATCTTCACCATATGACGAATGATCTAAAGCAGTGTTTCTCAAAGTGGGCACCAAGCCGGCTTTGGGAAAGCTGCTAGCAGATCCACCCATTTTGTTTACCTAAAAAATCCATAGACGTGGAGCCTCACATCTCCATTGCCTCCAGTTTGCTGTTTTCAGCCAATGGGAGACATGGGAAGCTCCCCTTGGCTGGAAATGGTGAACCAGAGCCAATGGGAACTGCGAGGCTCTGTGGTTATGGACCCTTTAGGTAAACAAAGTGGCATAGGCCTGCTAGCGGCTTTCGCAAAGCAGGCCCGTGGCCCACTTTGAGAAACACTAGTCTAAAGATTTCCAGTAAGGAGGTACTGAAAGAATTCTTAAAAGTAAGATCAGTTCTGATTATTTACAACATAGGGAATTATGCACTTTTTCATTTCTGCCTTACTCTTTAGCTACTAAGAGAGTAGATGGGGGCTTGAAGATTTTGGAACAACTCCCATTATGTGTATTTGAAAAGATTTTACTAGCAATGTGTAAAATTAGAAGTAATTTTATTTATTTATTTTCAAAGTTATGAGCCCTGTTTTCAAAAGTCAGGAACCTTATTTGGGTTCATTCAGCTCAGCACTTTGACAAAATCAGAATTTACAGTGCTAAATACTGACTTGAAAATACAACTACAGGATTTGGACATATTGCTTACAGAGCCTACATTTGAAAATTGGACCATATTGTTCCAAGAGTGTAATTGGTTTCCATCTCTTGCTTTGTACAATCACTTGTAATTTAAAACAATGTCTGCATTAACATATCAGGATGACAACAGCCAATTTTTTCCAAAATTCCCTTTTCATTCCAGAAAGATCCTTGGGTTTTAAAAGTTAATTTGGAGTCTATTTTTATTTTGGTACTATGATTCAGTTAACATTATGGATGTTAAGAAGCAAGTAATTAGTTAATCATGTAGTGGATAAGGGAGGAAGCCTCATGTCCAAGAACTGTGGCTCTGTTATGGCTCTGCAGCATGATTGTAGTAAGAGGCAGGTGGGCAGGCAGCAGCCCCTGCTAGCAGCAGCTCGGGCTGGCTGTGAACAGAGGCTGCTCCAGCAACAACCCCTGCCCGCAGTGACCTTGGGCCTGTCACAGGCAGGCATGTGAAGGACTAGTCGACTATCCGATAAGCAAATGCTTATTGCATAGTTGACAGGCTAGCCGACTAGTCGTTTCCCTCCTGCCTCCCCTCCACACACACATCTTGCTGGCTCTATCAGAAAGAGGCAGCAAGGCGGAGGGAGAGCAGCGGGTACTTCAAAGCAGCAGTGCCGCTTAGAGCCTCGGGCCAGACCCTGGGGTTATCAGTTAGTCAAGTACTTGACTACTCCCTTACATCCCTAGTTAAGATCCAGATGCCATTGTACTAGGCCCAGGGTGGCCAACCCGTGGCTCTTGAGCTACATGCGGCTCTTTGATTAAAGAAATGTGGCTCCTGCTGGTTCTGAGCCAGGTGCCTGGACTGATCATGGCCGGACGCTCTACACACCGCGTCCCAGCGCCTGGAGGAAGGGGGGCCCGAGAAGTATGTTGGACCGGGGGGGGGGAGAGAGAATTAGGTTAGAGCAGGGGCGTTGAGGGTGCCTGGCATTGGGGACGTAGGGGGTGATTGGGTTAGAGTGTAGGGAGGCTGCAGCACTTTAAACTCAAAGTCTTCATGGATGCAGAATAAGGCAGCCAATATAGGTGTCATTTAAATTACAGGGCAAAAAAAGAATCAGCATGTACCTAGTTTACACTGTGTTTCTTTAAAGAAAATTCAGAGGGTATTGTTTGCCAGGCTGAAGCAATTAGACTTTATTAGTTTTTTGTCTGAAATGACCTGTAATGTTGTTTTTATCACTACATTTTGTGTACTCTATCTTGTCTAAGAATAAATATATAATATGTGGCTCTTTGCACTCTATCCACAGCTATTTTGGCTCTTTGTCTCTAACTGGTTGGCCACCCCTGTGCTAGGCATTTTACATGCACATTGGAAGACATAATCCCTGCTCCAAAAAGTTAATGACAGATAAAAGAAAATCCATCCATCTTTTTAACACATGTAGAGACTTATTCTATGCTCTAGGTGTGGAACAAGTGAAACATATGCTTCTAGTATGCGAGGTCACATTAAGTGCAAAATAATCTGTTGAAATGGAAATTACATTTTTCTCTTGTAAGAATTTCCTCTGGAATCTCATCAGAGGAATGCTAATGAAAGTATTTGGCCTCAGGATATTTATACCTGTGAGACATCACACAAGCATGTGCAGCTCATTTCATAAACTACAATTACCTAAGTCATTGGCACCAAACCATTATGAGTCAAGGAGCCATTTTATCATTAAACAGAATCAGAGACAAAACAATATAAGTTGTATACAAATTTATTTTAACACTAATTAATTAATTTCAATTAAGTGCATGTGTCTTAAAAGGAAAATATCAAGAGCAACATTTTAGCTTACCTTCTTTTGCTAGCAGCAGAAATATACATGTAATAAATCGTGTGCACGCATTTGCACACCTATGGGTTAAATTTCTTGAACTGTTACAGCATCATAGCTGTCTGTTGCTTATTCTCTCACTGGAGAGAGCCATGGGTTGTCACTGGCATGGACACCAATGTTCCCTCTAATCTTTTCCATCAGTGTGGGGATTTTTTTTCCATCCATGTGCAGAACACATTTTATGTGCACCCAGGCATGTGCAAATGAGCACCACTGGTAGAAACAAAAAACCTAACTGCTAATCAGCTGGGTGGCATTTGAATTTCTCCTGAGTGGCTGCACAAGCACACAGCTTACAGGAAACATTGCTGGGCACCATATTACATTTGGCTTATCTTTACTACAAGAGTTATATTAAAGTGAACAAAAAGACTTAACTCTAAATACTTCCTCTTTTTTCTGCTAGAATGTCTTCATATCTTGGTGTCATGTTTTTTCATCCTTTGTATATAATTTATACTAACAAAATTCATTGATCATTTAAATCTTATTTTTATTTCAGTTTTAGGATTGTCTCAATATCTTTTTATTGAACTGGTATTCTAATATTTGATTTCCAAATATGGTAATATGGACAGATTCACACTCATCTTTTCTCCAGTTACAGTTTTGGCGGAATTACCGTTAAGTTTTTCAGGATCCACTAATGAACTGATAATGTTTATAGATGGTGATCCAGAGAATAAATTTATTTAAAATCACCTATGCTCCAATTCAGCAAAGCATTTAAGCATATGTTTAACTATAACTATGTGAATAATTCAATTGACATCAACAAGATCATTTATGGGTTTAAGTGATTTGCTAAATTGGGCTTTTGAGAATTATCCCAAATCCATTTATTGGAGTTGCATTAAACTTTGTGTGCAGATCTATGTAAAATATTACTTTCTAAGAAATTAAATGATGCTAAGTATTGGTTTTTTTAACCAAACATGATGTAAGGTTGTATATACAGAAGTTGAACTACAATGAAATACAAGGAAACTGTTGAAACTAGAATTTCCATTGACAAACTGCAACGAAGGAAGAGACAAATTTTCTTGTTGTGCTGTTCAATTTCTATTACTATAGAGTCCTGCGTTCTGTTTTCTAAACATAGCTGTGGAGACAAGAGATCGTGAGAAAATTCCACAGTTCTAGGCCCTAATTCAGAAAAGCATCTCTATTCACAACAGTAATTTGAAGCATGTGCATAAGAGTTTTCAGATCTGCGGCATTAGATATAAAAATATGTAAAAAATAGCTCAACTCATGCTTATTTAAACTTTTCACTTTATTTCAAAAGCTTTTGATATTATTCCTTTATCTTGTCTCATTCTACATTATTTTAAACTCAGCCAGAGTTTTGTTGGCTCTTGATCCATATAAATGACTGATTTTAAAAAGGTTGATAAATAATCATCTACCAAATTCAGGAACATAAAAAGTTCTAACCTGGTATATATGAGACACTTTATAAGGGAGAACTAGTAAGAAAGAATATACACTAGAACTTCATTCCCGAGGTGTCAGTAACTGTGAACAAATCATTGATTGTTCTTTTGAAAGTTTACCACAGTGCAGTAATTTCGTGTACTTTAAAAAAATAATCTCTGCTGCTGCTTGATTGTGCACTTCTTCCAATTCTAGATGAGATATATAGCTGACTGCTCAGTTCATAACTGCAGTTCATAATTCTGAAGTTCTATAAAAATTAATTATTTTTGTTAAAAACCTTAACATGAGTCTGTCTTAGCTGATCAAGAACCATGGTGATAAAAGAAATTGACTACATATCAAAATCAAAAAGAAAGAGCTGATAAAATGTACTCAGCATGCGTATATAGCATCAAAACTAATTCTTTTAGATATTATTTTCTAGACCGGGTAGCTGAGGAACAAATTGTTAAATGGACATCCTAAAAGTTATGTAAAACTGCAGAAGGAATAGAAATAAATCCTCGCTCTGGGGTTGCTGACCTATATTTCATATGTTTGGACCACAACATTAGTGGTTGGTGTGGCTGGGGAGGCAGGACAGCAGCCCCACCTTCAGCTCTGCCCCCTCTGCTGAGGCCCTGCCCCCCACAAGGAGGGGAGGAGTCAGGGCAGAGTGCTGGGAGGGGAGGAGGTAGGGCAGTGCACTGAGCATGCCCCAGCCTCCCTGGAGCACTGGGAAGGGGAAGAGAGGCATGGGGTGCATGCCCTACCTCCCCAGAGCAGCAGAGGTGAAAGGAGTGTGTATGCACAGCATGACTTTCCAGTCTCCCCAGAGCACTAGGGAGAGGAGAAAGTTGTGCTACGTGGGTCCCGGAGCACTGAGGGAGGGGAGGATGCTGTGCTGTTCCAGCCTCCCTCATCCAGAGCACAGGGAGGGCAGGAACTTGGAGCAGCAACACTCTGCCCCTGGAACACCCACAGCAAGTGTTCTGGGGACAGTGTGTGGGCGGAGACAGTTTGGAGGTTGGGAAGGCAAAGCCTTCCCCCACCTAAACCACTGGACACCTATGAACCCACAGCCCCTCTTACACAAGTTGTCAACTCTTTGCAGTTAGCTCAATAATATAAAGAAGGTAAAATTTATAAACTACTTTCATATTTTAAGATGAACAAAAAGTGGGGCTTCTCCAACTAAGAGAGAGAGAGAGGCTCGAGAACTTACCTGAGAGGCACAATCTACTGGATTAAGTATGGGCTATGCTTTGCTAAAGTTGTGCTTTAAATCTTGGGGTAGAACATTGGCTTCTAAACACTTTTAAGCCACCATTTGGTGAGAAGTTAACCTGTGAGTCACATGGAGACATGACTAACTTAGCTACATAGACTTCAGGGGGGTAGCTGAGTGAGTCTGTAACAGGAAAAACTTAAAACACAATGAATAGTCTAGTAGCACCTTAAAGGCTAACAAAACATGTAGATAGTATCATGAGCTTTTGTGGGCACAACCCACTTAAGGCCAATTCCACAAGCCAAATACACAGAAAAGGGTTGGAACTTAACTCCATTCACAAGTTTAATTTGTATGCAAATGGTATGAATAGGGACATAGACTGGCTCCCACACTACCTTCCACATCCTAATGACTTAACCAACCAAACAGTGGAGATGCTAATTGTTCTTATCAGCCTCTTCTAACTATTTGAACCATCTACTCACTCTCTCTATTTTTTCCCCTCCCCCCCTTTCTCTTTTTTTTTCCCCTCCTTCCCTCTTCTGTTATTTATTCTTGGATCTGAACTTCTAATACTCCTGTCATCCGAAGTGGGTTGTGCCCACAAAAGCTCATGATACCATCTACGTGTTTTGGTAGTCTTTAAAGTGCTACTAGATTTTGTTTAAGTTTTAGCTACATACTGAATGTACATATTTTAGGTCAAATTAAATGACAGACCACAGAAAACAATATTTCCTGAGCTACCACCACTCAAGTAATCTGTTGCAGTGTGTATTCTTTAAAAAGTTTTCAAACCTGATCTTCATTTTCTCACACAAAACGGGGGGAGAGTAGGGGAATGGTGCATTTCAAAAAATCAGTTAACACTGCCATGTGACAACCTATCACTATTGGAAGAAATCCTAGCATCCTTGCCTGTAAAAATATCATCTAGACCAGTGTTTCTCAACCAGTAGTATGAGTACTTGAGAGGAGTCAGGGTCAACACAACTGAAATGTGAAGAAAACAATTTTTTTTTTGTTTCACAGCATTTTATTTTTATACTTTTTACACCCAAAAATTTCATTGCCTGCCCAGCTACAGTAAGTTGTTTAAACAAGTGTGTTGCAATGGTAGAAAAAAATTGTGCGTCTGAAAACTGTAGGTACTTTATTAAAAAAAGGTTGAGAAACACTGGTCTAGACTGGCTGTGTCTACATTGGCAAAATCTTGCCACCTGTCTACACTGGCCGCGAGTATTTGTGCAAGAACACTGACGTTGTAATGTACAAAATTGCTCCTGCTTCTGATGCTCCCGCTCAG